TACTCATCAGGGCTCTGCCTATAAGAGTTGGAAAACTCAAGAAGCTCTTTGGGAGTATAGTGAACCTCTTCATGGGTCACACTGTGTATCTCACCTTTAGGCGCTTTTTGTGATTTGAGCCTGGTTATGGGCCTAGAGGCAAAAACCAATATTGAGGATATTGAGTGTGAATCCTGAGGATCACCAGCATAATCCTGTTTAGTCACACAGGATTGGCTTCAGGAAGTATACTAAGAGATTCCAACACAGCAAGGGGTGGAGGTGGTGATGTCTCAGCCACTTAAGGTGGGGAAATCTCTCCCTCAGGCAAAATAACTTCATTAGCATCCAGAAATTCAGTATCTTCAATTTCCTCAGAATCCTCTCATACATCTCCATCCCAATTCACAGGGTCCCAGTCTTTTCCAATCAGTGCCCTCACCTTTGTTTCAGATACCCTTCAAGGCTGAGCATTAAATTTACATTGTAGTTCAGCCAACTGAATTAGGAGGGACTGTGTTTGAGTTTCTGCAATCTCAGCCTTGCAGCTAAAAAAGAGGTTTTTCACTCATGACACACTGAAAAACTTTTAAATTTCTTATCTGTTTCTGGAGGTGGGATTTTTCCCTCATTAGTTTGTCCAAAGAAGCTAAGACCAACCATCATTATGTTATCTACTCTGCCAAAGATATTCAAAATGGTTTTGTACAGAGTCACTAAATTTCTGACATCTCCTAACTGGTGAATTAGGATAATCAAATGGATCTATGAGATGTATTAAACAGTTCATGCCAAGGATTATCAGTATAGTCCACAGAAGTTGAAGCAGAGATCTTGGTGTCTTCAGGTCTCACCAAATTGCAGAGCCAACACCAGCAACCTCTAACACCATTAAAGAATGCCATCATTATAATTCTGTTTCTCTAGGACCATTCCCGGTACCAAAATTGGTATTAGTCAGGGTTTTACTAGAGAGAACAGATATAACACGAGATATACAGATAAAAAAGAAACAACAAGATTGGCTTACGATGGTCAGTCACAGAGTCTGATGAAGCATGCAGAGGGTGTCTACATACTGGAGGCTGAAGGATTCAATTCAAGGTCTGGAGTTCAACCTAGCGTCTTGTGCAAGTCCACACCAGCAGGCTGATGGGTCTGCAGCAGAAGGCCCAAGGCTCTACGATGAAAGGCTGAAGAGTCTATGCTGGAAAGCTGAAGAGTCTACACTGGAAGCCAGAAGATGACCTCCAAACCAAAGGGGAAGACTGGAGCTTCTCCCAAGAATGGAATGCATTTTTCCTTCTTCCTTCCCTTTTATACCTCCAGGTGATAAGCCACCCTAGGGTGGGTGGTCTTCTGCATCCTTGGGTGTAGAGTTGCTAAACCCATTTAGTTAATTAAGCTTCTAAATGTCTCAAATTGACACAATCAATCAACCACTACAGACCATCTTCTCTATTTCTATTTCACCTTTAGTTTAAGCAAAAGTCTAGCTTTCCCACGCTTCCCTGGTACATCTCTTGAGTAGAAGCCATTTGTTTTGTTTCTTACACTCTAACAGGAAGTGAGAGGGCATCCTTCTTGATCTTTGTTGCTGCTTTCACATTTCTCGTCCTCTTTTCAAAAATGGGACTTCCTTTGAAGTCCTTGTCATAAATTGTAATATTCAGTGTCCTCAAAAGGATACACATGGGGCTGGGGATTTAGCTCAGCGGCATAAGCGCCTGCCTTGCAAGCAGGCAGTCGTGAGTTCGATCCCCGGTACCAATAAAAAGGAAAAAGACAAAAAAAAAAAAAAAAAGTGCATCAAAAGGATACACATGGTACACTTGTATTAAGTTAATTTAGAGATGATTAAGTGTAGTGATTATTTACAAAAGCGTGAATGAAGTAGAGGAAGGGGTAATGAGGGCAGTAAACTCAGATCTAATAACAATGGAGCTGGTACTACCCCTGGCTCGAAGGGATAGAAGCCAGTGCTGTGATGTAGTATAAACAGCTTTGTAGAGATACAGTCATAAAAAGAAGAGAGACCTTCAGTTCAAGGACACAGCCTTCTCCGTCTGATTTTCTGCTACAGATCCACATTAACTAACACCAATCAGGATCAGAGGGCAAGGAAATCTGTTGATTTAGTTGCAACCTGTTGATTTAACTAAAACCTGTTGACCAGCTAACATGGCACTGTGTGAAGGAGAGAGGTATGGGGAATAGACCTGGTAGAACAGGCAAATTTCCAACTCATATTCAGCGCTCTTCTTGGTTGCTATCATCTTCCAAAATCTTGAGTCCTCAAAGACTCTAGCTCTAGCTCCTTATCTGCCTCTTTACTACCACTCAGTAACTGCCTCTCTACTGCCACTACTCAGTAAGTTCAGCATCATGAGTGGCTCCCACATACCATTACAGCTTCCCGACTTCTTGATTATCTACATATTCTGTCACAATTCAGGACTCCCCCCACCCAGTACACACTTTTCTTCATGAATTTTTAACTTTTTTCCTGTTCTTACTGGCTACCTGGCTCCTCCCTACAGTCAAGTTCTTTGACATGAAAACTGAACAATTTTACCCTCTCACTCATTCAGAATACCTCAACCAATAACTCCAGTGTCTGATACTTCACAGTCTTTGGCTCTCTGCACTAACTTCCTATATGTTTGATTGCTCTGTTCATTCCATCTGTATGCCAACTGTAGCCAAACTGATTTTTTCTACAGACAAAGATTAAGTACAGTCGTTAGGAGATGAGATAATGTGAAATAGAAGGGTACATTGTAAATACTAAGTCTTCCTTTTCATAAAAGTTGGAGCCTATATCCAAATAATAATTATATGCCTAGTATTTACAATCTAAGTATCAGTTTACAAAGATACTTACTTCATCTTTAGTTTCATAGTAATACAGATATTACTGGTGTTGCCTGTCTATCTCACAGCCTTCCTTTAAATTTTTCCTACCTAAAGGAATGACCACTTTGTTCAGTACCTGACTTGTACCCAATGAGCATATGCTGCTGCAGAATTATATATTATCTTCCATTCCTACCATCACCAATTTTAGGGTCTCTTTCTGGGTCGGTTATGTAAAAACAGCCTATGGGTTTGAAAGTAAGTCAGATGTGAGGGATTTTGGCAAAGGTTTCCTTGCCTTCCTCCCAAAAAAACCTCAAAATCTCAGTGGCAAAAATAGCTTTCTTTTTATCTCTGGAGATTGCTTGCTGTGGACACAGTTTTTGGGACAACTAACATCTTTTAAGAATTGGGGGAGAGGATTTCTGGTCTCTAATTGTAGATCTGACACTATTCTTCTTGAGCAAGTTGTCACACCTTTCTGAACATGTGCACTCATTTGTGTCTTGTACTATAAATTTATGAGGGTCCAAAAGCAAGTTTGCTGGAGTCATTTCTTAGAATACCAAGACAGTAGATAAAAGAAAATACAGTTTGCAACATTCCTGAGTTATTTTCCATCCTATACCACGGGCCTATTTCTGGACTTCTAACTATGCATTTGTAAGTCCAGGGGATTTTGATTCCATAAAAAATTAAGAAATACTGATTCCTAAGTCCACAATATGAACTTTCTCTACTAATTATCAACTAAACAACCTTATGCAAAATCTTTAATCGCTGAGCGTGGTAGCTCAGGCCTGTAATCCTGGCACTCAGGAGGCTGAGGTAGGAGGATCATTGCGAGTTCCAGACCAACATAGGCTACCAAGTGAGCTCAAGGCCAGCCTGAACTGCATAGCGAGACCCTGTCTCAAAAAAAAAAAAAAAAAAAAAAAAAAAAAAAACAATCTTTAACTTTTGTGGGACTTTATTTCATTATAAAAAGTGGGCAAATGACCTTAATGACTTTAGTGTGCCAATTTCAAATTAAGAGCACATATGGAAAGTGTCTGGACATCCATGATCCAGGAAAGGATATACCCACAAAGCCTCCTAAATTCCTAATTCAAGAACTGATTCACTGATTTAATAATCAGATCCAGACACCTTTTCTGATATTCCTAACTAGTAGCTCCCTGGGGGATTCTGGCAATCAAGACTTTCAATAACACATTCTAGGATCCAAGTAAATGTGACCATTAGGCAAGACAGAATTTAGCAAAGGAATATACAACACACTATCCCTATGCTGCAGGTGTTAGGATTTCTGGTCCCCAGTTGCAGATCTGACACTATTTTACTTGAGCAAGTTGGCACAACTTTCTGGACATGTGCACTCATCTGGATACTTGTCCTATATGACGTATAAATTTATGAGGGTCCAGAGGCAGGTTTGTTGGGATATAGGGTCTTCTCTGTTTTTTTTCACACCGCTTTAATGTTGATAAGGTACCAATAAAAATATGTAAAACCGATTAGAGGAGGTGTTGGCAGATAATTATTTTGGTTGAGGGCATGAAGCAGAAACTGGAAATTCCCTGAAGAACACAGTATACCCTTGTGGGGATCACAATTACGCTGGTTACACTGAGTGAGGTCAGTGAAAATACCTAGAAAACATGAATGATGGGGTAAAGCAGGTTTACAAAAGGGCGCTAAAATCAATGCCCTGTTCAGTAAAGTCTCAGTGCCCTGTTCAGAAGTCAGTGCCCTGTTCAGAAGTCAGGTGCGGGGAACGAGGAAAGTAGGGGGCAGGTAAGGAGAGTGAGAAAAGGAAACAGAAGGGAGGGAGAGAAAGAGGAAGTGGGGAGGAGAAGGAGACCAGCGTTGTTTGTCTTGGTCTCAGGCCAAAGTTGTTAAGTAGGGCTAGACCACCGACTAATTTGGGAGCTTTGGAACTTTTCGGAGCACAGGTTATCTGACCTCGTCATCAACGGAAATCAAACTTATCCAGCGTTTACAGTTCTCCAAATTTCATTTTATGCCTGGACCGCACGCAAGGAAAACATAACAAGGAAGCAACAAAAGTCCCCAGACTTCTAGCTATGTCCTCAACCCTTAGCCCCGCCCAGTTGGAACAAGCCCCTCCCACAGCTCGACGCGTAGCTGTAACGTTTGGATCTTCTCAGTACCCGTACATGTTAACTGTGACCAAGCGGCCCAGACTAGTGCGCATGCGCCATTCTTTCACATGGTTTGTGTCCTTATTCTATCTGTGGCTGCGGGAGCGGTGGCGTTCGTCCTCGTCCTGAGACTATGGATAGTGCTTTGGTCTCAGAATATTACGCCTCGGAAGTCTCTCAGTCTTTTGGTGGTGGCTGGGTCCGGTAAGTATCAGAGCGGTGACTGTCGCGTTTGGGTCGGTCACTACAAACCCCAGAGTACACTGCGGCGCTCTTTCTGGTCTCCTTAGCCCTCTTTGGATCGTTGCATGCTGAGATTTGTAGTTTCTTTGCGTTCCTGGACCCAGTCAGCCCAGCATAGGAAGAAGGACTGTTGCTAATGCGGCCTAGCTGCCTTTTAATGACGAGTAATTTACATTCGTGTGTAATTAAGCCTTTCTGTAGTGTGTAGCTTTCTAACAAATAGTGAACCGAGAACGCTGAAGCCTTTTGATGTTAACACGCAGTTTCCTGTTAGGCTGTTGGGCGTTATTAGCGTAAGCCTTTTATACTTAGTATAGGAAATGCAAATATTCCATGATAAACGAGACAGAGTAAAGTGTCACATTTATGAAATATACAAAGTCCACGAAGATAAAAACATGACCTACAGCTCGTACAACAACAGCAAAGTGCAGGCTATCAGAAACGAGCTGATCTATCAGGTAAACAGTCTACATTCACCAGTCTCTGAAGGCGCTTAGAATTTTAAATGGACCATTTTGACAGAAATGAAAAATGGTCCTGCAAGTGTTAACTTTTGAGAAATACATCCTCATAGGAAAAGCATACAGTATATTTACACAATCCTAAGTGATCTAGCATACTACACAGTGAGGCTTTCTGGTATACATGTATATGATTCAGTTTATTGTTCCTCGGGCCACGATGAACAAAACAACAAGAAAAGATCAACAAAAAACGACGCAATTAATAGATGCAATAAAAGCGAGATGCATGAAGTTGTTACCCCAATACAGGTCATGCTGTTTTATAAGAAACTTTAAAAATAACAATAAAGTGCACAATAAAGATACAAACCAGTAGCATAGTCGTTTACTGTCATTATCCAGTATTGTATAATACTGTACATAATGGTATGTGCTATACTTTTATGTGATGGGCAGCACAGTAAGTTTGTTAATGTGAGTATTGCCTTCAGTTACTAAATTATGACAGCCGCGATGTTATTAGCATCAGAAATTTTTCAACTCTTATAATCTCACGGGAGCACAGTCATATATTATGTACAGCATTGACCAAAATGTCATTGGTGATGCATGACTACACATATACACACACAATGTATATTTAGAAATGCCAGGAGATTACAGTCATATAAAATACTTATAGTATGAGCAAATGTAAGACACTTCTGGTCAAGTATGAACTATTACTTTATTTACTTAATATATTTGGAGCTATAGGAGAAGCTGGGCAGTAAGCTAAGCTCTGGGAATAACAAAAATGACAATATTACTTGATTTGGGCATGATAGATAAAGGAGAAAAGAGGCCTTTATTGTGGGCCTGGGAGGGCTGCAGAAGAGATGTGAGCACTCTGGCAAGAACAAAGAAATGGAAGTACTTTTATCAGGTCTGGCTGGGGGAGGAGTTTAGGAAGTGGGCAGAATGACATATAAACAGCTGATTTGAAGGAGCATCTGCTTGCACAAGACAGAAAACAGACTTATTGGGGGCTAGGGGTGGAATACTTGGGATTGGAGAGGGCTTGGCACACATGCAAAATACGCAATCTTCAGGAAGCACACCACTTTCTCTAAACTGCAGACAAGAAAAGGCTAGATGATGATGTTTCTGACTTTAACGAACAGGTGAAGGTTAATGCTATTTACTTTGTTAATATTAGATTGGTGGAATAGAAACTAAAATTAGGTTGACTATTTGGCAAGTAGTATCCTTCATTCAGAATATTTAAGGTAGGGAGAGGCCAAGGTCTTTAAGAGTGATGCAGGTCGAAGAATGGTTTATAGTCAAGTAAACATTTCAGCAGTGCCTGCCCACAACTTTGGAAGAAGGAGAAAATATTTTCAATGTTTACCCTGGAGATAAAGGAACACTTTAATCTTTAGGTACTATAAAATATTACTTGATCACTTATATTCACAGAACATATTTTAAAACTACTGCTTTTCTTTGATATGCAGTATTCTTCTGAGGCAAACTTTGGGTTTAATAGCAAACTCATTAATCCAACATTGTGAGGGCCTAGTTGTTTTCTAGGCTTTGAAGGTAACAGCTGTAACAGAGTAAACAAAAATACCCTATTGTCATGGTATTTGCTCTATAGTGGGTTAGTGATGGGGAGATATAAAAGGCAAAAGAACTAGACTACATAGTATATTACACAGTGATAAATACTACTATAGGAGGAGGGGTTGCATTTTTTTAAAGGCCTGTCGGGAAGCCTGCTAGGAAGATAACGACTAACCCCAGGACGGCTAGAGATAACAAGTAGACTGAGGAGGGAAGACGCTCATGAGGTCTAAGAGGTAATGGAGGTTAGGGTTACATTACAAAAAAGCCTTTTATTCTGTGTGTCACAAAACTATGGGGAAAGTTTGATCAGAGATAATTTAATCAGCTCTTTAATAGGATCATACTGGATACTGTTGTGAAGCAGCACAGAGAAGTGGGTGGGGGAAACAAACTAGGAAGCTATGGTCAGAATCTGTGTGGAAGGTGACAGTAGCTTGAAAGAGGACTGTAGTAAAAGGAGTGGTGAATAGTGACCAGAGGCTTGGATACAGTTTAAGGTCACACTGAGATGATTTTATTGCCCTCAGATTTATAGTCCATCATTTTTATGACCTTATTCAGTAACAAGATTAACTTCAGTGGATATATTCAGTAAGTGTTTCCTTTAAAAAGACAAGAAAAAAAGAAAAAGAAGACAGTTAAGACAGTGTAATGAGATTTCTAATGCAGAGAAAGGTATTTAGTTATTAGGTTTTATCCTTAATTGTTCTAGCTGTGAAAACAAGTACCTGCTTTGCAAACCACAACACTTTAAAAGCTAAAAATAAAAATAGTAAAATGAGTATAAATCAAATGTGTAAATTGCATACCTCAATCAAGTCATCTCTTGCTACTTAAAAATTGTATAAAGTTAATATGCAATTCTAATTTCTCACATTCACGCTGAATCTATGACACGTTTCTTTCTTTATATACTATCTTCTAGAACCTGAAAATAAATTCTTGCTTTCTTAGTACCAAATTCTTTAGTAGTAAATTCTTAGTAGTGAATTCTTTCATAGTAAATTTTTAATACTAAAAATATGTATTGAGAAGAAACACATAATTTGTTCAATTGCCTTTGTGTTCATGATATATTAAAAGTTCTTTTTTAGAACAGTAAAAGAGGTAGAATGGAAGAGACTTTCTAGGTAGCAAGGACAACATGACCAAAAGCAAGAAGAGTTAACAAATAAGATGAATAGAAAATGTTGAAGTGTCAGTCTGGTTGAAGCAGAGTATTCTGAAATGAAAATAAAATAAATATAAATGTAGCTGCTTCATAAGATCTTCCAGTTGTTATGCTTAAAATGTGTGGTAGGTTGTTACTATTCACATTGTGGAAATAACAGTAAATGTACAGTTAGCCCTCCACTATATTCGTGAATTCTGCGTCCTTGGATTCAGTCAACCACAGATCAAAAATATTTGAAAAAAATTCATCTGTACTGAACATGTACAAAGACTTTTTTCATTATTCCCTAATCACCACATTAAAACAGCTATTTACATAGCATTTACATTGTACTCGATCGTGTAAGTAATCTAGAGATGACTCAAGATGTACAGGGGGAATATGCAGGTTCTGTGCACATACATCCTTTTCTTACAAAGGACTGCTAGAGCATCTGTAGATTTTGGTTTCTGTGAGGTGTCTTAGAACCTGTTCCTCCCAGATGCTGAGGGGATGTCTGTAGTTGATGTCCTTGAAATTAAAATATTAAATTTTTAGAGATTGTATGAGTTTAGAAACTGAACATATACTTATTGGTGAAGCTGGTAGTATTTGAGGACTCTAAGATTGAGACCTGTAGGAGCAGAGGTTACAGTGGACAACAGATTCTTCCTTAGGAAACTCTACCGACCGTATCTTGTCTTATTACTGTACACAGAAACCTCCAGTGACTGTCTTCATCCTACTTTCCTAACCTTGTTTTATCTTTAACCTCTTCCCAGATTCTTATTACCCCCTAAACATGCCTCAAGCCTTGCCTTCTCATCCATGTCTTTGCCCAGTGGCCTCCTTACTGCCTGTCACTTATCTTTGCCTTTGTCAGTCATCTCAGCCTTTAGTGATCTTCCCTAATTTAGAGTAATAATTTTTCATTACCATTTTCTTGTCCCTGTATTTTAGTTTTCTTTGCTGTCTTGAATCCTCTTTATCTCTGTAAATGTATGTATCTTGCCTTTTCCCACCAGTTTTCTTGATTGCAAGACTTTGTGTAAGTCTCCAGCCTGACCTAACTGTCCCAGCCCTGCCTGCTTACCAGCAGAATTTGTCTTATCCTTCTTTGTATAAGTACTTACTGCTAGTACTAATTTTATTTTTATACATTTATTATCTTTTCCTCATATAAAGGTATTTATACAAGGGTATAGATTGTTTTTTTCAATTTTTATTAGTACATGCTTGCAGTACATAATGATTCCATTTTTTATGGGAACTTGGTACGGGTACACAACACATTTTAATTCTTTTTCTTTCACTTCCTCTCTTCTCCCTATCCCTTTCCTCCATCTCTTGGTCCCCTTCCCTTTTACAGAAGATCTGTCTCCCTATTGTTTTTAAATATTCTTGTGACTTTTGAGAAACTTTTAATATTGGTGATTCTTACGTCCCCAGAAACATGACACTGCTATATCATGGTCAAATAATATGTCTGTTGTATGTTTCTTAATCTTAGACTTTCCAAATTTTTTCTAGGTGGGCATACCACAGAGATCCTGAGGCTGCTTGGAAGCTTGTCTGGTGCTTATTCACCTAGACATTATGTCATTGCTGACACTGATAAAATGAGTGCTGATAAAATTAATTCTTTTGAACTAGATCGAGCTGATAGAGATCCTAATGCCATGGTAAGTGATCATTTCTATTTCTAAAAGTTACAAGTTGTACATTGAGTTTGTCTCTGACAGTAACCTCATCCCACTCCAGTGCTGTACCCATAATAGGCAGTCAAGTTGGTTTTTTGTTTCATTTTATGTTTTTTTTGTTGTTTAGTTTTTTGAGGCAAGGTTTTGCTCTGTAGTCCAGATTGGCCTTGAACTTATTATGTAACTCAGGCTGGCCTCAAACTCATAGTAATCCTTTTGCATCAGCCTCCTGTATACTGAGATTACAGAGATTTGCCACCATACCCAGTGGCAGTTAAGTATTTACTAGTATCTTTATAAAGATACTATAAAGTGATATTCTAATTTCTTCCATTTTCCTTTATTTATGAAAATAAAGGAATTTTCATTGAATTCAAAGTATGAGAACCATATTTATAGTTATATACATAAAGCATTAAGTGCATAATGCTTATTGGCTCTTCATTATACTTTATCAGCATACTATAATTATGTATAATTTGATTTAACTATGACTGCATTGTATTCTCCAAATAATATTTGTGTCTGCCTTTAGAAGTGCTTCTGTAACCTTCAGTTGCTCACCTCATTTAGCATTTTAGTCAAAATTTGGAGATAACAATGAAAACTATTCCTTTTTTGGTGATGGAATCTAGAGCCATTCCTTTTGTACATTGTTACCATCCAACTCTTCCTCTAGGATTTTCTCACACACAGGGTGGCATTGGATAGTTCAGGAGCAGAGAGTTGATTTGCTCGTGGGCCCATCAGAGGCTTTGCTGGGCTTTTTTGACTTCAAGACTCAGAGAATGGAGTCTATCTCCATTAGCAAAGGCTCCATAGAAGATAAAACTTAGATGCTGCTGGCAGTCATGTTTTCACCTGGTTGGTAGATGGTCCACAGGTGTCCAAGGGTGAACACACTACTAGGAAGAATAAGATGGGAAACCAGATGGAAAATCCTGCTTTCAGTGGCACCAGAGGCCCTGCTTTGTCTGTGTTGGTCCTGGCTTAGTGTTTCTCCTCTTCCTTGGTATGTTGGTTAGCATTCTCATTGGAAAAGAAGGCTAATGTATTCTATATAAAAAGGCTTAATATACACTGTATTAATATATACTATATAATATAACTATATTATCTAATATATTTTCTGAGGTTTTCAGTTCATGGTCAGCTGGCTCAAAGGAGAAACACCATAGTGGAAGGGCCTGGTGGAACAAAGCTGCTCACTTTATGCTGACTGGGAAGCAGAGCACAAGTGAACAGCTCCAGCTAGAAGTGTGTCCTCTAAGGGCACAGTCCCATGACCTATTTCCTCCAGCTGGGCCTCACTTCCTTGTAGCACACTCAGCTATAACTCTCTTACTCCAGTCAAGTTACTATACTTGGCATACTTGGAAAAGAGCATCCATTGACACAGCACTTCCCCAGCCCCACTTCATTCCCTCTGTCACCCCTACCCACACTTTCATTTAACTTTTTAAAGTTGATTTTTAGTTGGTTTTTAACCTGATTATTAGCTATCACACTATTAAAATGTATTCTTGGAAAATCCATGTCAAACAAGATTAGAATATGAATCTACATGGTATCCATCCAGCTGTAGAAAAATGTATTGTCCTTTTTTTCTGAATATTTAGACAAATGCTCCATTTTTGTTTTAGGAATCAATAGTGCATTAATTTTTCAGAGTTGCTTTAGCTAAACACCATAAGCTGGGTAGTTTAAAACAATGGAAATGTATTATCTCACAATTCTGGAGGCTAGAAGTCTGAAATCAAGGTGTTATGGGGTCACACTTCCTCTGAAGACTTTAGAGAATTCCTTCTTCTGTTCCAGCTTCGGGTAGTTGCCAGCATCCTTAACCTACCTTCACTTGCAGATGCATCACTGATCTTTGTCTTCATCGTGTTGTCTTTTCTGTGTCTAGTTTCATATGCCTTTCCTTTTGTCTCATCTCATCTCATCTCTTTTCTTTTCTCCTTCCTTTCTTGGTTACTTTTCTCTTGTTGCTGAGACAAAAATACCTGATACCCAAAATTAAGGAGGAAAGGTTTATTTAGCTGGGGAGGTTTCAGTCCATCAGTGGCTCCAAGGCAGAGTGACACATGGCAGAGGGCAGCAGTTCATGACAGCAGAAACAGCACAAGCATAAAGAGCAACAGGGGAGAAGCATGGGTAGAAGACTCTTTCTGTTCCTTAAATTGTATGTAGGCCACAAACACTTGGGTGTAGCATTCACACCTATAATCCCAGCATTGGACCATGAGTCATTCACAAACCCTAGAAGCATGCCTGCATGACTGCATGAGGCTTTGGGGGGCATTCAGACTCAAACCATGACACTTCTCCTCCCTTTCTCTGTCCCTCCCCTTTTCTCTTCTTTTTTTTTTCTTTCCTTTTTTTCCCCCTGCTTTCTCCTCCCCTCATTTCCCCACTCATCCCCCCCTTACTTCTCTTTCTCTTCCCACCTTCCTTCCTTTCATACTGGGGATTGAAATCCAGGACCTTCACACTAAGCTATATCTCCAATCCTTTTTATTTTTTATGTAGAGGCAGCATCTCTCTAAGTCATAAGTCTCCCTAAGCTGTTCAGGTGATACTCAAACTTGTGTGATCCTTCTGCCTCTGCCTTCCTCAGTGCTGGGGGTGCATGGGGCATGCACCATGTACAGGCACACTATTAATGATGGTAGCATAAGCATGCCTGTTGCCCTTTCTGGCTGCCACTCCTGTGTTGTCATAGTCTGTATGTGATTTAGTGGGGTGTTGATGGGAGATGTGTGGGTTTGGTGGGGGTAGGGAAGTTGAGGGGTGGGGAAGGATATTGTGAACAAAGGTAAATACCTTTTCATTTCTCATTAAGCCCTACTTAAGGGAAGGATCCACCTACTGGCCTTTTTTTACACTACAGCTTAAGGAACTTAGCATCCATATCCCTACCTACCACCTTTTGTACCTTCTGTAGAGATGGAAAAGGAAATCTTAACTGAAGAAATCAGTAATGACCAGTACATTGAGTGAGAAAGTCCGTAGGAGCCTAGTATACTAAACAATCTAGATCACTTTCCAGTGTAGTAGCTATGAGCCACATGTGGCTATTTATATTTCAATTTAAATTTACTAAAGTGAAATGCAATTTAAAAATTGTACCGTCAGTCATGATAACATTTCTGATGCTCAATAGGCACATGTATCTAGTAGCTACCATATTGGACAATATAGAATAGAACTTTTTTATCATTGCAGAAAGTTGTATCAGATGACACTAGGCTTTCATTTAAAAGCTGAAAATGAAGCACTACCAGACAGGAGAATTACCAGGTTCAAAGCAAAGGCCTTTTCAAAATAGTTAAATTAAAAACATAAAGTAATGTTTTTTAAAAATATAGGATCTTGGTCCGCATCCTGTGCCAGTCTTGAATTCACTCTGTATCCCACGCTGGACTCGAAATTGCAGTCCTCTTGCCTCAGCCTCCCAAGTGCTAGAATTACAGGTTATACACCACCATGCTTGGCTTACAAAATAAGTTTTAAGTGTTAGCACTAAAATTTAAGGACCTATTCCATTAATTAACACGAATAGTCTATTTACAAAAGGAACAATCTCAAAACAAAGATTTTTTTGAAATTAAAACAAAAAGATTATCACAATTAAAAATTCCAAGTTAATAATTACTGAGTTAAAAATATAACTGAAGACCTTATTTGTGGACCAGAAGTCAAGCTAACGAAATTCTTGGGGTGAAATGGTAAAGAATGAGAGAGAAGAATCAAGAAATAATCAGAAATGAGAAAAAAGAAGAGACCGAGAAAGAGTATAGAGTAGATTTTCATTATCTATCTCAAATATCTTTATTTAATATAATTAAATCTTAGGATGGTGTCAACAGTTATATAATCTTAACTCACTACTGTTTGTGTACCATGTCTTCTTTTGAATTCATCTTACATTTGACTCAGGTATGTCTTTGAGTATTTTTTACTAGAAAGGTTACCAAGGTCTTTGCAAATCTGAGAATATCTTTGTTGTGACATTGTACCTCAACAGTTGTTTGGCTTGGTGGGTAGTTCTAATTGTACTAATTAATTGTAATGACACAATTATTGTAATTGTAATGATACAATTCCTTTCCACAGTCTGAAAATACAGTATTAGTCCACTGTTTTCTAGCAGTTAAGTGTTCCAAAAGAGGTGTTTCATGCCAGTTTTATTCTCTTCCTTAGAATTTAAATTTAACCAGATCATGTCTATGTGTCTGTTTTCTCATTATTTCTTTCTGTATCTCAGTAAACTGTTTAGGATCATTTTCTTCTATTTTTCCATTTGTCTATTTTGTATATCAATCATTTGTCATAGATTACATAGCTATGTATATCTATATATATATAATAGATATATGTATATAGATCTATATGTATAGTTTTCTCTTACATACATATTTTCTTCCTGTTTATTCTTTCATTTTGTAATGAAAAGATTTAGATTTCAATGTTTATATTTCCTTTTAGAGTACATATTTTCCTTTAGGAGCCCAAATTTATACTTTCCCCTAGGACCTTGTGCTCAGAGTTTTAAGATTTTTCTTTCCATATTGGTATTTAATCCATCTGAAACGGACTTTTCTGTATAATGTTTAAAAGAGATCTAGTTTCCACACACTAAAACAACTGTCCCAGTCAGTGCCATTTATTATAAACAGTCTTTTACCCACTGATTTTTCATTGTCACCACTGTTACCTCAGTGTGTACACACAGGGCTGTATGTTAGCTCTCTATTTTGTTACCTGGTTCATTTATCTGTACTGAGCTAATACTAAACTCCTTATTCCTCAGAAGTGTTTTACTTGTTCTCCCCTCCCCCAGGAGAAAGCCAGGGACCCTCCACCATAGATGAAGCAATTTTGCCTATTCTGTTTTATTTTGAGACAAGGTCATACTAAGTTGCCCTGACTGGATTCATACTTGAAATTTTCCTGCTTCAGCCTCATCCTGAGTAGTA